GAGGAGACACTTATGCAAATAACCAGCCATGATACAATGTGATATGGAGTATAAAAGAGTTTTGTTCAAAGCGCTGTGGGAGAACAGATGGAAATGATCAACAGCAATCATAATAATTAATAACTACAATGCCCTAGCCGGGTTCTCAGTGCTACATTCCGATGATTGTGTTTGTCCAGCTCCCTTTCTTTTCAGTGAGAGCTGCAAACCATTCTACTTCTCTAGAATAGCTAACACAATGGGCAGGCAGGGTGCTGTTCTGAGTTCTTTATGGATATTATCTCACAACAATCTTATGAACTGTTACTATTATCATTCTCATTTACAGATGGGGAAATGAGGCACAAGCCACAGAGCTGGGTTTTGGACCCGGGCAAGGCTCCAGAGCACACAGGCCTAACTGCTCTGTTCTAATGCCCCCACTAAAGCTGCTCATTTTCATTCCTTTCCCTACTCCCCAGACATCTCCAGCAGATAACCACCCCCCATCACCCACTTCATTGTGATGACTGGGGTCAACTGGTGGGACTTCTGTCCACTTCCAAGCCAAACCCCAGCTTACTTAGATCTCTTCCCTTGTCTCTTCCACCAGCCCTGCCTTCATTTTAGGAGTCAACCCCCTTAAGCCTTGGTTTTCTGATCTACTAGTAGGGCTGATACTAACACCCATAGAGTGGGACTGTTTTTGAGGACTGAGCGTGTTTATTCATGGAAAGTGCTTCTCCTGGCACATACTAAGTGCTCAGAAGATGTTATTCTTTTTTATCCCCCTCATATCTGGTTCCTTCTCTCTTCTCTCTCTTCATTCCATTTCTCTTTACAGGTTGTGTTAATTTCGTATTCCTGCTGAAAAAAATGATCACAAATTCAGTGATAGAAAACAATACATATTTATTATCTGGGGTCAGAGTCTCAATGGGGTTTCAAACTGGACTCTGGAAGGCTCTGGGAAGAATCCATTTGGTCACTTTTTCCAGTTTGTAGAGGCTGACCACACTCCTTCGCTTGTAGCCTGCTTCTGTCTTCAGAGCCAGCAGTGGTGGGCTGAGTCCCCAGGTTGCATTATTCCAACCTTGATTCTGTCGTTCCATCTTCTCTGACTCTTCTGCCTCCCTCTTTCATTTACAAAATGTGATTACACCAGGATAATCCAGGAGAGTCTCTTCTTCTTAGTATCCTTAACTTAATCACATCTGCAAATTCCTTTTTTACTGTGGAAGGTGACATATTCACAGGTTTTGGGGATTAGGAGGTGGATTCCTTTGGTGGCTGTTATTCTGCCTACAGGTTCTTTCCTCTTGGGATACAGCAAGCAAGAAGCACCCAAAACAAAATATCCCTCTTTAACAGTACATTCTCTTCTGCCTTCCTCCCTTCTCAGCCAGGCTCTTTGAGGGTTGCCTTGACTAGTTTTCTCCACCTCCTGACAACCTGCTGCAGTCTGCATCTGCCCCCACATTCCACCAAACCCACTCTTGCTTGGATCACCCGTGGCTTCCAGATTGCCAAATCCGTGGGCACCTTTCATTCTTAACCGGCTGCGTTTTCCATATTAGCTGCCCATTCCTTCATGAGACCTTTCTGTCCCCTCTCTGCTTTTATGTCACTTTCTGCTGGTTTTCTCCCTCTTCCTTTCCGGCTTAGACTCCTCTATGAGCTGCACCATCTCCACCCACCCCTGAAATGTCCATGTTTCCCCGGGGTTTGGATCTTGGATCCGTTGTTCTTTTCTTGGGTGAGCTTGTCCCACACTGCTGGTTTTAAATGCCACTTGCATAGGGATGAGCACCTCCTGCTTGTGCTGTACACATCTCTGGCTGCTGGCCGGGAGCGTTGGTGAGGACTGTGCTTCCGGTCATCCCATCGGCTCGTTGGCTTCCTTGGTCTCCTTTGAGGCAGACATGTGAGAGAGCTCACTGAGGCAGTGACTTGAGAAGCATGCACCCTGGGGCACTTGGTGCTTCTGTTCCCGGCAGTATGGCTGTTTCCATACTGTTTCCATCGCGATGGAATGGGATTCTCTCAGGACATCTCAGAGGACAGGTGGAAGGCAGCGAACACGGCAGTGCCGAAGGACAGAGCTGTGTTTAGCAGGGGTGACAGGAAAGCACGCAGGCGTGGCAGATCATCAGGCACATATTTATTGGAGCAAACCCTTCCATTACCATTGTGGTTTGCAACAGCTGTAGCTCTGAAGGAGCCACAAGCTAACTGGAGCACAAAGGCACACGAACATTCAAAGCAAGTCAAGGTGCATCCTAACTGCAGTTAGACACGCAAGACTCTCACCAGAAAGAACAATCTGCCCAAACGGCAGGGCTGCCTGTGAAGCCAGGAGGGCTGCTGAGGGAGGTGTGGTAATCAGGAGTGGTCTTGGGGGCAGAGGGGGGTGAAACAGGTGAAACAGGACTTAAGCAGGGAATGGACATTTCAGGCAGGGAAATAGCGTGTGCAAAGACTTGGAGTCAACTTGGGGAACAAGGAGAATGTGGGGGAGATGAGGTTGAAGAGGAGGACTGTGTCCAGGGCATCAGGGCCTCAGATAATGCTGGTACAGGAAGTCTGAACTTTGTCTTGTTGGTAGTAGGGGACCGTGGAAGTGTTTTGAGCAGGGGAATGACTTGGCAGAGCTCAGCTTTAGGAAGACTATTCCAGTCTTGGGTGGACTGGGGAGGGCCCCAGATCTTAAAATATGCAAAATATAATTTTAGAGAGAGGAGCTACCTTGGCAATTACTTATCTATTTCTATAATTGTATATATGTGTGTATTTTTAGATGTATATATGTGTGTATATTTATATCTAATATATATATATATTTTAAATACATACACATACACATTGGACGACCTAGATGGAGGATGAGTGACAAAGGCACACAGTGACAAAGCCAGCATTAGAACTCAGAGCTAACTCCTGGTCCCATGCTCTTCCTCTGCAGGGTACTCATGGAGGCAGAGGTATCTGAAAGGAGGCCAGTTTAATCATCAGGGCAGATGGTGGTACAAGCCTTGACCAGGGCAGGACAGGGCAGACACTGAGGGGAAGACTGTGTGGGAGGCAATGAGGATATGTTCTCTCTTCTTCTTCCTCTCTGGGTGGGGGTTGGGACATAGGGCTCGTTGGAGACTGCATATGAGTGCATCTCTCCTTCCTGGGTCCTGCAGCATCCTTCTGGGCCTGGTTTCTATGGCAACAGGCTCCCAGCAGGCAGCCTGCCAGCTGGAGAGAAGTAGGCAGGCAGGCAGGGAGAGAAGGCCTGGGCAGCAAGAGGAAGGCTGAAGTTGCGGGGGTTGGGAGAGTCTCTTGGGGAGGTGGAGGGACCCCTAGAGCTGGCCCCACAATCCCTTCTGACCATGTAGGGGTGGAGGTAGCTCAGGACACACAGGCTTTTCTTTTGTGGTCCTTGAATTTCCAAACCTTGATCTTCTGTTTATCCCCCACTTCCCACATCTCCTGGCTCCCACTTCTTAAAGTATTGCCTGGTCCCAACCTCATGCATCTTAAGGGACCGCTGACTTCTTTATAGAAAAGAACTCTGAATTCAGGGAAAAAATGAACAAGGTCAGTTGACTTTCTGGTTTGCATAATATTTGCATATTATTAACTCAAAGACAAGAAATTTCCAAACCCTATGTCATTCCTGCAAATAACTTAATTCAGCTCCACTGGCACTGACTTACTGTGTCTGGCCAGGCTCTGGGCTGAGCCATCGGGGTCCCTAGAGAAGTCCTCCCAGCTGCAGGCCCACTCCACCCGCAGCTACTCCAAGGCATTTCTTCCTGTGATGTTCTAGTAGCTGGTGCAGTGCGAAGTGCTTGGACTGTGGAGCCCAGCAGCCCTGAGTCCAAATCCTGGCTCTGCTACTTTGAAGCTGGGTTGACTTGGTTTACTCATCTCTAGGTAGGGCTGAGGACACTCTAGTGCAGCTGGTGTAAACTAGCATAGACATAGCATTTGTTAAAATATTGAAATACTTCGGCCAGGCGTGGTGGCTCACGCCTGTAATCCCAGCACTTTGGAAGACTGAGGTGGGCGGATAACCTGAGGTTGGGAGTTTGAGACTGGCCTGATCAACATGGAGAAACCCTGTCTCTTCCAAAAAGAGACAAAAGGCGCATGCCTGTAATCCCAGTTACTCAGGAGGCTGAAGCAGGAGAATCGCTTGAACCCGGGAGGCAGAGGTTGTGGTGAGCCGAGATCATGCCATTGCACTCCAGCCTGGGCAACAAGAGCAAAACTCCATCTCAAAAAAAAAAAAAAAAAAAAATTGAAATACTTCTGCCTTCACTGGTAAAGAGCCACCACCCTGGCTCCTCTGACCCACCCCACAATCTAGCCTCTCCAGGGCACTGCTGCAGCATTTTGGTCTGTGCCTGCTCTGCCTGGCGTATGCCAGCATCTGCTCTGTCCATGGACTGAACTGGTTGCTAAATAGTTTGGATATCACCCTTGTCTAGAGGCAGTGCAATAGGTAGGTGTATTATGTACATAACTGTTGCAAGGACACACACACACACACACACACACACACATATATATATATATATATATATTTTTTTTTTTTTTTTTGAGACGGGAGTCTCACTCTCTCGCCCAGGCTGGAGTGCAGTGGCGGATCTCGGCTTACTGCAAGCTCTGCCTCCCAGGTTCACACCATTCTCCTGCCTCAGCCTCCCGAGTAGCTGGGACTACAGGTGCCCGCTACCACGCCCGGCTAATTTTTTGTATTTTTAGTAGAGGCGGGGTTTCACCGTGTTAGCCAGGATGGTCTCGATCTCCTGACCTCAGGATCCGCCCACCTCGGCCTCGCAAAGTGCTGGGATTACAGGCGTGAGCCACCGCGCCCGGCCAGGACCAATATATTTAAAGTGCATAGGTTAATGTCCATCACTTTGTAGGTTCCCTTCCTCATTCCCTTCCTTTTTTTTGGCTTGGGGTGGGGGTGAGAGCTGGGATGAGCCTGGGCAATGGGGGATGACAGCCACCCCTCTCCCCAGGCGAGCAAGGTTCAAGCGCTCCAACAGTGTGACAGCCGGCGTGCAGGCAGACCTGGAGCTGGAGGGCCTGGCAGGCCTGGCCACGGTTGCCACAGAAGACAAGGCCCTGCAGTTTGGACGTTCCTTCCAGAGGCACGCCTCTGAGCCCCAGCCTGGGCCCCGGGCCCCCACTTACTCAGTCTTCCGCACGGTCCACACACAGGGCCAGTGGGCCTACCGCGAGGGCTACCCACTGCCGTACGAGCCGCCGGCCACCGATGGGTCGCCCGGCCCCGCCCCCGCCCCCACCCCCGGCCCCGGGGCCGGCCGCCGTGACTCCTGGATAGAGCGCGGTTCACGTAGCCTCCCCGACTCAGGCCGCGCGTCCCCCTGCCCACGGGACGGCGAGTGGTTCATCAAGATGCTGCGGGCAGAGGTGGAGAAGCTGGAGCACTGGTGCCAGCAGATGGAGCGTGAGGCGGAGGACTATGAGCTACCTGAGGAGAGTGAGTCATGGCATCGGAATGAGGGGACTCTGGGGACCATGGCCTAGTGTGTGCTCAGGAGACCCTGATGGGGGTGGCTGGGGCTGCAGTGTAACAGGAGGCCCCTTCAGTTTGTGCCTCACTAGTCTGCATTGGAGCGTGGCAGGTCAACATTGGTAGCAAGGCATGCTGGGAGCTCTTGGAAGGGAGCAGGGTGCACACGGTGCAGCTTTAGAGGCCAGGGGCTGGGACTGCAGACAATGCAGGCCAAAGGGCTGGACCTTCTATGGATGGCTACTAGTCCAAATCACCAAGTTTATGGGGACTAAGATCTGGACTGGTGTGGGGATCCAGGTGGTGGGACTGAGATTACAGAGAGGGAGGCAGTTCACAATGTCAGATCCTGCCTGAGGCATAGATGAGGGAGATTCAGCCAGGGAGACATGGCCCTGGCCTGAGGGAAAGCCTGGCGCTTCCTGTAAGTCAGATCCACTGAGAGACACAGTCTTACTCCAGAATCTCTGAGTTGAGGGGACAGTGACTATGAAGATGTGTTACGTACATTAAATTACTTGGTCATTCTTAAAGAGCCAAGGAGTCTTGCATGCACTGGTGAGTGATGAACAAAGCTTAGCCAATGGGTGGTCACTGAGCTAATGCCCTGGCCAAGGCCATAGGCTAGGCTGGGGCTGGTTTCTGTCTGTTTTCTGATATGGGAGGGAGAAAGGATAAAGGAGAATGAGCACTCAAGAAATGTAGGCTGTATGAAGGAGGGAACATCAGGGTCTGAGGATACAGTCTTGGTGTAGTGGAGCAAGAACTTGTTATGAACTTGAGGATAGGATGGGGCTGGGGCTGGAGGAGACTGATGGATAGACAGTGCCAAGCAACCGAGGGATCAGCGTTCAGGGCAGAGTTCCTGGAGTCTGGGGAAGGAGATGCATCATTTCCCTCCCTGAATTTCCTTCTGCTTTCTAGTCCTGGAGAAGATCCGCAGTGCTGTGGGCAGCACACAACTTCTCCTGTCCCAGAAGGTTCAGCAGTTCTTCCGGCTGTGTCAGCAAAGCATGGTGAGTGCCCATAGTAGTAGATCCTACCAGATATATGTGACCCAGAGTGTGTGTGTGCTGGAGGTGAGACAGGCAGGTGACCCAGTGTGTGTGTGTACCAGAGGTGAGACCAGGCCTGCATGCCTGCAGGAGTAGCTGTCAATCTTGTGCCTGGAGGTAGGACCAGGTGTTTGTGCATAAGAAGGGAGGGCTGGGCTCTTTCTTGTCCCCCTGTCTCCCAGCCCCCACCCACTCTCCCAGGCTGAGGTTCCTGGCAGTTAGGGTGGATAGGACTTTCTCTTGTCCTTGTTGCGGGAAGTCAGGGACCCCGAATGGAGGGACTGGCTGACGCCATGGCAGAAGAACATAAATTGTGAAGATTTCATGGACATTTATTAGCTCCTCAAATTAATACTTTTATAATTTCTTACACCTGTCTTTACTGCAGTCTCTGAACATAAATTCTGAAGATTTCATGGACACTTATCACTTCCCCAATCAATATTCTTGTGATTTCCTATGCCTGTCTTTAATCTCTTAATCCCATCATCTTTGTAAGCTGAGGATGTATGTTGCCTCAGGACCCTGTGATGATTGCGTTAACTGCACAAATTGTTTGTAGAGCATGTGTATTTGAACAATATGAAATCTGGGCACCTTAAGAACAGGATAACAGCGATTTTCAGCGAACAAGGGAGATAATCTTAAAGTCTGGCTGCCTGTGGGCCGGGCAGAACAGAGCCGTATTTCTCTTCTTTCAAAAGCAAATAGGAGAAATATCACTGAATTCTTTTTCTCAGCAAGGAACATCCCTGAGAAGGAGAATGCATTCCCAAGGGGAGGTCTCTGAAATAGCTGCTTTGGGAGTGTCTGTCTTTTACAGTTGTAGATAAGGGATGAAATAAGCCCCGGTCTCCTGTAGCACTCCCAGGCCTATTAGGACAAGGAAATTCCCGCCTAATAAATTTTGGTCAGATGGGTTGTCTACTCTCAAACCCTGTCTCCTGATAAGATACTATCAATGACAATGCGTGCCCAAAACTTTATTAGCAATTTTAATTTCGCCTTGGTCCTGTGATCTCGCCCTGCCTCCATTTGCCTTGTGATATTTTATTACCTTGTGAAGCTTGTGATGTCTGTGACCCACATCCTATTCGTACACTGCCTCCCCTTTTGAAAATCACTAATAAAAACTTGCTGGTTTTGTGGCTTGGGGGCATCACGGAAGCTGCCGACATCTGATGTCTCCCCCGGACACCCAGCTTTAAAATTTCCCTCTTTTGTATGCTTTCCCTTTGTTTCTCAGACTGGCCAACACTTAGGGAAAATAGAAAAGAACCCATGAAGAATTATCGGGGACAGGTTCCCCAGATAGTCCTGCCTGGGGCTCAGACCTCCCTGACCAATCACTTTCCCTCTGTCTTCCTTTGCTGCAGGATCCCACTGCGTTCCCTGTGCCCACCTTCCAGGACCTGGCGGGTTTCTGGGACCTCCTACAGCTCTCCATCGAGGATGTGACCCTCAAGTTCCTGGAGCTACAGCAACTCAAGGCCAACAGCTGGAAACTCCTGGAGCCTAAGGTGGGACTGGGGTCCCTTCAGGCAAAGAGGCCAGACTCTGGGAAATTCCCCTCCCCAGAGAGGTGAAGGGTGGGACGAACAAGGGGGCAGGGGAAGGGACCCATAGGCAGCAAGGGCAGCCTTGGACAGGTGATAGGTGACCATCCCCTTCCAGAGTGACCATGCTCGTGGCCACTGCCGTCTGCTTGGCCCCAGTGCTCATCAGTGCTTGAGCTGCCAGAACCCCAAGGCTTCCTCAGCGCGGGGGGCGGGGGGCAGGGAGGCTGCAGGGGCAGGGCGGCTGCAGCTGGAGGGAGCAAAAGGCAAAAGTAGACCTTACAGAAGGACAGACTGTCTTCAGTTCGGGCCTAGGCATCCAGGGCAGAGCCTTGAGAGTCCCCTCAGCTGCCAGGTCGCTGGACCTTGTCTGCGATGAGGGCCAGAGGCCTGGTATGTGCACCCTCATTGCGGAGCCTGGGTCGGGAATTCCCTCCTCTGGGTCCGGACCCCGAGTGAAAACCCGGTTCTGATGCGAGCTGTTGAGAACGGCGCCACCAGGGGGCGCTCGAACGCGCCGCGGTTTGGTAGAAAATGTGGGGATTTGACCTTGTCGGAACAGGCGCAGGTGGGGCTTCAGGTCGCGGAATCCGTGGCGGATTCTGAGCGCCATGGCGTTCGGAGCCGCGCGGTCGTCAGCGCTCCGGACGCGGGGGTGCGGGGGCGCGGGGGCGGGCACCGGGGTGTTAGGATAGTTCGGCGCCCCAGCTCAGCGCTGTCCTCTGCTCCGCAGGAGGAGAAGAAGGTCCCTCCGCCGATACCAAAGAAGCCCCTGCGGGGCCGGGGCGTGCCGGTGAAGGAGCGCTCCCTGGACTCCGTGGACCGGCAGCGGCAGGAAGCGCGCAAGCGGCTCCTGGCGGCCAAGCGCGCCGCTTCCTTCCGCCACAGCTCGGCCACCGAGAGCGCCGACAGCATCGAGATCTACATCCCCGAGGCCCAGACCAGGCTGTGACCGGTCCGGCCCGCCCAGCCCGGCCTGGGCCCGCGGTTCTCCACCCGTACTGTACACCCAGCGTCGAGGTCACTGTGAACGCGGGCCGCCCCGTGCGCCCGCCCCACCGGCACCGCACGCCCCAGCCCCCGGGCCCGTCACACTCTCGTGGGTTTTTTACCTTCCTGACCCCACGCGAAGGCGCCCGGGCTGGGCAGGGGGCCGTGCCTCTCCGCCCTGCGCCCCTCACCTGGATCCCTCGCCCACCTGGTCCGACGCTTTGTCCCCACCTCCTTCCAATGGGCACCATCTCTGCCATTCTTTTCCCCCCACGGGCCAGGCCGGGCCGGGCCCCCCATCTGGGCTCTGCGTCCCCTCCCCCCACCCCGCGGGGCTGGGCTTCGTGGGGATCAAGCTTCGTGGCTTTTTATGAAGAATCCCGAACCCCGCCTAGGAGCCCGCCCCACCCTCCCAGGGGCTCCATCTTCAGCCCTCTGCCCACTGGGCCCAGGGACCACAGTGGCTGGACCAACCCAGGACCAGGGCGCCTGGGCCTCTCCCCTTTCCCAGCGGCTGGGTAGGGGAGATGGGGGCTTCCCCTCACCACACCTGTGGCTGTTCCCACATCCCCTTGAGTATCCCAGGAAAAATAAAACGGCAGAACTGCACTCGAGCCAGCTGCTCTCTCCAGAAGAGGCCACCTCCGTCCCGTGTGTGGGAGGACGGGGGTGAAGGGAGAAGGGGCCGGGAGCCCACTCTCTTGGTTTGGAGACAGCAGGGGTGTTGCCTGAGCTCCTCCCAGGGATGGGCCAGCTGGTGGAAAGGAGATTCGGCCCCCTGATGCCCACAGTAAGGACCTGGACCCTCCTGGAGGGGCCCAGGTGGGGTGAAGAGGGGGAGGGTGTCCATTTCTCCTCTCTTCCGGTTTCGCTGTATCCCATTCTGCCTCCCAGTCCCCAGGGTTCCCCCAGAGAGGGAAGTCCGGAGTTCGCTGAGCACACAGCATGTGCTTGATAAACCGGGAGTGTGGTGATTGTTAGGTATTGACAAATAACTGGTTTCCCTTCCCCTAGGGACGCAGTGTTCCTTCTGCTCCAGTCATTCCTGATCAGCAGCAGAAAAACTTCAGTCCTGCCACATTTTCTGATGCCTCCTATGGGTGGCCACCTTCGTGGAGGCTGGGGTGGGGGAAGAGGAAGTACAAAGAACAGAGCTCTCCTGGGAAGCTAAATGGCAAACAGAACCTAGTATCGATGGCTTTATTGAGTGGCCAGTGTGGGTCAGGCAAGGGGTGAGTGCTTTACATGAATGTGGCTGGTCCTTAAAACAGAAGAGAAAGCCAAAGCTCAGGGCAGGTTACACGACCTGTCTGAGGTCACAGGGCTAAATGTGGTGGACCCAGGTCTAATGTCAAATCGTGACCTTTTAGCTTTGCAGGCTTCTTAGACCAGAGAGGGCTGATGGCATTCTCCACCCAGAAAGCCCCTTTCCACTCCTTGAGCAGTCCTTTGGATTGGTGTGTCACCTCCAGGCAGGAGGAAAATCCTTCAGGATTGGCTGCTTTTTTGGGCCACACTGGATCAGCTAATTCTTCTCATTCATTTATTCAGCAGACATTTATCACTTTCGGGCGCCACAGGAATAGCCTTTGACAAGATGTAGTTTCTACCCTTAATGGAGCTTATGGTCATATGGGAAAAACAGATAAATAAGCAAGCAGTTAAAATACAGGGGTGAGTGCCAGAAAGATGATTAGGGATTAGCTGCTGAAGGAGGGCCAGGGTTGAGAAGAATGTTCCAAGATCAGGGAACAGCTGTGCAAAGGCCTGGAGGAGGAAGAGACATTGGGAGCACAGGGTCTTGATTATATCAGTGTTTGGGTCTCATTGAGGCAGGTGGCCTGGGTCTTGTGGGCTGTAGGGAGCTATAGAAGGGTTTTGAACAGAAGAGTGGCATGAACGTTTTATAGACTGGTTTGGTAGACAACTTCTGAAAAGCAAGAGATGGTCCACAATACAAATTCACATGAGCCTGGAAGGTGAGGAGGGCTGTAATGTGATCTGAATTCCCAAAAGCAGTTAGTTTGAAGGTGATCCCATACAGACTCTGGGGCCTCGTCCAAGACTTAGTGAATAGACTCTGCCCTCAAATAAGGTTTTAACAAGTGCTCCACAAGATTCTGAGCAGCCAGGTTTGGGAAGACTTAAATTGGATGACTGTCCAAGGGTCTCCAGTAGAAGGGCTGGGTCAGTTTACCTCTCTGAGATTGTTTTATCATCTCTAAAATTGGGGCATGGGTGAGGTTTGAACTCAGAGCAACGCTGTAAAACAGATATTGTTATCATCCCCATTTACAGATGAGGAAACTGGGGCATGGAGAGGTTTAAACAGCTTACCTCAAACCATGAAGCCAGGAAGTGGCTGAGTCTGAGTTTAACCTTTACATTATACAGCATTTTATGGGTCTATGACTTTTCATAGACTTTTCTATGTCTGGTGTGGATGAGTCTCCTTTGGTTCTTGTGGCCTAGGTAGTTATGCTGAGCCCCATATATCAGTGAAAGATTAGGTCCAGTCCTTTGGCTTAAGTTGCTTACAGTCTGGCCATGGCCAGCACATAAACAGAAAGTTATGGTGCAAAGGGAGACCTGCTGTCTCAGAGGGGCCAAGGGGTAGAGAGAGGAGAGAGCCTCTAGCAACCAGGGTGTTTTAGTCCATTTTGTGCTGCTATAACAGAATACTGCAGGCTGGGTAACTTATAATGAACAGGTATTTATTGGCTCACAGTTCTGGGTGCTGGGGAGTTCAGTGTCAAGGTGCTGGCAACTCGTGAGGGCCTTCTTGCTGTGTCATCCCATGGCAGGTGAGAAGGTAAGAGAGGGCAAGAGGGAGTTGAACTTGCCCTTTTATAAGGGCGTCAGTTGCACCCATGAGAGTGCAACCCTCGTGGCCTAATAACCTCTTAAAGGCCCCACCTCTTAATACTTACAATGACAAATTTCAGTGTAAGTTTTGGAGGGTACAACCATAGCACAGGCAGTCTGGGAGAGCTTTCAGCCTTGTGAGCTGGATCTTGCAGGATGAATTAGCATTTTGTAGTCAAGGAAGAGAAGGGAGAAATTCATTTCCGGCCAAGGGACAAACCTGGGCAAGGCCGTGGAGGCACATGTGTGTTGGGAATGAAAGCACAGGCTAGAGAGGGTGACAGGTTATGGTGGCTGTGGAGGGCGTGGAGGAGATATGGCCGGGAGGAACCCATAGAGTTGGGGGTGGGGGGCTAAGATGGAGGCCTCATAGTTTTATTTGAAAGATAAAACTATGGCCAAAAGACAGGACATGGACTGGAGGGGGCAACAAGACAGCAGGGAGACCATTGAGGGAGCTGCTAAAGTGGTCCAGGTAAGAGATAATGATGTTGACTTTGAGAGACATTTAGGAGGCATACATGCTGCAAGCTGGATCTGGAGAATAACGCAAAGATGGGACGCCTTGAAGGTGTCACTCAGATTTCTGGCTTAATGAATGAGTAATGCCACGAATGGACATAGGACATTACAGAAGGAGCAATACAGTTGGGAAATACTTAACATGTCAATAACCATTTACTGAGCACTGAGAAGGTGCAAACTACTATGCCAAGCACTTTATACACATTTAGGTGATTTAATACTCTCAGCAACCCTAGGAGTGGGTACTATTATTGTCTTTTTTTAAAACAAAGAGTGTAAATAGCTTTTCTGAGATAAGCAGACAAGAGTCAGGATTTGAACCCATGGCTATCTGATTTCTAAGTCTATGCTCCTGAGCCCCTCAGCAATTCTGCTTGAGGGAACTGCTAGCCATGACTCAAGACTCAGCTCAAGGCCTGGTTCCTCTAGGGAGCCTTCCCTGAATCTTCCTGGCCGGGCTGAAGATCCTCCTCTGTGCTGCGTGTGTATACTTCTGTCATCACATTTCTTATATTCTATAGACATTTTGTAGACCCATCTGTTTCTTTAGTCAGAGAACTCTGGAGGCAGGTTGGTCCCAGCCATTTTTGCATCCCCAATGCCTAGCACATGATTGGCTGGCCAAATGCCAGTTACTCTGGGCAGTTCTGTTCCCTTCTCGTCTCCACATATTCAGTTAGTGAACAGGTTCTGCTAACCACGGTCTCCTAAATATTTCTTTGTACTGTTGGGGTTCAGAAAGCGATACCCCAAAGACTGGCGCTTTGACATGGTGAGAGGCCTTCAAAGCTGCCTCAGAATCAAGGTCCCTCTAACCTTCTCTCCCAAGTATAGGGAGGCACTCTCTCTAGAATGTCCTAATCTAATCAAGAAAACTTCTTTCCAAAAGAAACAAAATTGCCTTCTTCCCCTCCGCGAAATCTCATCTATCTCAGAAAAGAAGACTGAGGAAGGCAACTACGCCTGGATGGATTTTTCACAAGATGATGCCTGCTTCTCGGGCTCATTCAAATTCTAAAGAGAATCATTTTCAAGTTAATTTCTGTCCATTTTTTCGCCCTAAGAATCACGTGCTTCCCTCAAAAGAATTGTCTATATTCTCCATCTCTCCCCTTCCCCTTTGAAAAAGGGTGTATAAGCTTCTGTACCCCATTGGGTTATTGGGTAATCATTCTCCTGTGACCATTCCCTTCCTGCCCCCTCACCCCCCACCCCGTGCTATGCACGTTAAAATAAAATTTTGTATGTCTTTTCTCCTATTAATCTGCCTTTTGTCAGTTGATTTTCAGTGAACCTTGGTCCCTACAACACTGTTCCCCTTTCTCCATCTTAACTGCCAGAACTTAGCTTTGAGCTTTTGAGATAATAGGGGAAGGGTGCCTAACGTGGTAAGCAGTCTATGTATGAGGCTTTCTCTGGAGGTGTCCCTGAAGTTTGAAAATTGTGCCAGAGCACAATTTGGCATAGTAAAGAAAGGCGGGAAGGGCACTGCATGGCCAGGCACGGTGGCTCATGCCTGTAATCCCAGCACTTTGGGAGGCTGAGGCGGGCAGATTGCTTGAGCTCAGGAGTTTGAGACCAGCCTGAGCAACATGGTGAAACCCAGTCTCTACAAAAAGTACAAAAATTAGCCAGGCCTGGTGGTGTGCATCTGTGGTCCCAGCTACTCGGAGGGCTGAAGTGGGAGGATCACTTGAGCCCAGGAGGTCGAGGCTGCAGTAAGCTATGATTGTGCCACTGCACTGCAGCCTGGGTGACTGGGCGAGATCTTGTTTAAAAAAAAAAAAAAAAAAAAAAAAGCGGCTGGGCGCAGTGGCTGACGTCTGTAATCCCAGCACTTTGGGAGGCTGAGGCAGGCAGATTACCTGAGGTGGGGAGTTCGAGACCAGCTTGACCAACATGGAAAAACCCCTTCTCTATTAAAAATACAAAATTAGCCGGGCGTGGTGGTGCATGCCTGTGACCCCAGCTACTCGGGAGGCTGAGGCAGGAGAGAATCGCTTGAACCTGGGAGGCGGAGGTTGCGGTGAGCCGAGATCGTGCCATTGCACTCCAGCCTGAGCAACAAGAGTGAAACTAAAAAGAAAAAAAAAAAAAGGTGGGAAGGACACTCTAGGTAGATGAAAAAGCATCAGTAATTCACTGGATGTGAAACAGCGTGGTCTGCCGGGTTTTGTATGTGCGAGCAAAATAAATATGCAGGCTGAGATTAGTGGGATGAAGGTGGGAAGGGCCTTGTGGGAGCGTTAAGAAGTTTGAGCTTTGGGACTTTTCTGTATATGATAAAATTGATGTCTGTATAGGGTACAGTGGGGACACAGAGGAGGAAGTGAATACTTGTACCCAAGAGGTCATGCAAGACTTAGGTTTTACTATATTTCAATTATTTTTACACTAACACTAGCCACATTTATTTCCCTGCTGGCTGTGTGCCTGCCACAGTACTTTACAAATATTGTCTCATCCAACCCTCACACCATCCCTGCGAAATGGGTGTTATTACCTCTACACAGAAGGGGAAGGGAGGCTCAGACAGGTTAATAATGTTCCCAGGGTCACTAGAAAGCTAGCCTGGATCCCAAGGGGTCTTACAGCACTAAATTATACTTTCCTAAGAAGAGCTTCTTGAGGTCAGGGATCATGTCTTTTGTTTTTGCGTGCCAAGACCTAGGTCTTAGAAGACACCTAATAAACATCAGTTGAAAAAGATGACTGGATGATCGATCTTTCACTTTTTCCACGTAGAAAGCACGTGGCGACAGCACTGAGAAACCTCCAGGCCACCAGGGGGCGCGACGTCCATTTCAGCGCAGTGGGGCCCGGTTGCGGACGCCTAGCTTCCTTCCCTCCTTTGGCTAAAGTTCAGCCAATCCCTGCGCTCCGAGAGCCGGCGGCCAGTGGGCAGGGTCACAGGGCAAGGTCCCGCGGGGCGCTGGGAGCGGCGACTTCCGTGCTCCCGGCGAGCGGGCGGAGAGCGGGGGCCACACTGGGGAGTGTGGGCTGGGCCGCAGGTGAGCGCGCGGTGCCGGCGAGCAGGTCCGGTCAGCCCAGGCCCGTAACCTCTGAGTTACGGGAGGAGTGATCGCTAGGGTCCACCCCGGTCCCGGCCAGACCTGCCAGCCCCCTTCTCTGGTGGGTGCTCTGGTGCCCAGTCTGGGAGCCCGAGTAGCCCTCCGCAGACAGGGCTTATCGGCACCTCAGTGAGGACGGACGTTGATGAGGCCACGAATGAGGTGGGCTAGGGGCAGTGGACCGGGAGCCCCACAGAAGGGAGCAGGGTAGCCATTTGGATGGACCCTGACCTCACTTGCGCTCCCATTCCTGGACTGCGCTTGAGTGACTGTCAGGGTTAATTCTTTCACCTTCTCAGGCCTCCTCTGTCCTTGTTAGCAGTTCTTGAATTTAGGACTACGGCTTCTGGCCTCGTTGGGCCTCCGGGCCCCCGCACTGGGGCAGGTTTCCCAGCAACTCAGTTGACTTACCGGATGCTTTTGGCAGACGTCCTCCATGCCGGGCTGGAAATATGCGTCACAGTGTTTTTCAGACACTTTTGCCTCTTTCATTGTGATACCTTGTCTGGGGATGACTATGATGGAGTCTAGGTTTCTGTAATCAGCAAAGGCGTCTGTTATGTTCCTGCCACCTTCTGGATGAGAGTGGGTGGAGAATGTTGTGATTTTACACTAGGGAGTTGTTTGGGCTGTCATTCATTCGTTCAGCAGACCTTTTTTGGGCACTCTGCCAGGCAGGGTGGGAGAGGTGCCTGGATGGATAGGGCACAATGGGGCCAGACGGACATGGTGCTTAGCCTTTTGGAGCTTAAAGTGTCTTGAGAAATGCAAACAGGGTAAGCCAGCACCGTGCCTGACACAGCGCAAGTGGTTATAAGCGTTGAATAAAGGAATGAATTGACTTATTTGGGAATGATTAGAATGTGAGCAGGACGGTAGAGAGAGACTTTATGCTGCATGTGAGAGATCGTTGTGAACTCAGGCTCGATATGTTTTAAGACAGATTTGAAAGTCTGGACAGTTGCTATTTAGGGAAGCATTTACTTCTACAGAGGACTTGCTTTAAAGGTGGAAGGAAAATGAAGAAGTATTAGGTTTGGGATTCTTCAGAGGTGCCTCTTTTAACTATTGTTATATCTCTGAATTTCACAAATCCCTGAGTATAATCTCAGGGTTTGGGAAAGAGGAAGCTCTTCTAGGTAATGAAATGCCAGGCTGATGGGAAAAGAACTGTAGGAAGCTCTCTCCAAATCCAGGATTTGAACAGAAATCGTATACCTCTGCAGTGTGTTCTTCCCACTAGAAAGAGTGTAGACTTTGAAGTTGGAGAGGCCTGGGTTCAAAATCAGTGGCTCTATCACTTCTGGTGATTTTGGGTAAGTTAACATAATGTCTGTGAGCCTTTGTGTCAACAAGAGCCTGGGCTAATCATTCCTACATCATAGAGGTGTTATGAGGATCAGGTGATGGTTCGTGTGTAAATTGTCATCATAGTGCCTGGTGCTAAGACAATAAGGAGGGGAGTCTTGGAGATGCTGCAGTTTTATTTATTTATTTATTTTATTTATTATTTTTAATTTCATGATGCTCCCTTACTGGGGGGATCCTCAACCTCCTGGGCCACAGACTGGTGGTGGTTTTCAGCCCATTAGGAACTGGGCTGCACAGCAGGAGGTGAGCGGTGGGCCAGCTGGGAAGCATTACCGCCTGAGCTCCACCTTCTGATAGATCAGCAGCGGCATTAGATTCCTACAGGAGTGCAAACCCTATTGTGAACTGCGCATGCGAGGGATCCGGGTGTGTGCTCCTTATGAGAATCTAATGCCTGATGATCTGAACTGGAACAGTTTCATCCCGAAACCATCCCTCTCCAGCCCCCATCTGTGGAAAAATTGTCTTCCACGAAACTGGTCCCTGGTGCCAAATACAGGTTGCGGACCGCTGCCTTATAGTGTTAATGTCCAGAGAACAATGGGATTCCTTCAAAGAGAATTGGGAACCAAAGAGAGAGGGGGAGAATCATCTTATCCTTGATGAGGTTTTGATTGTTCACTTTAGATCAGAGATAGCAGTGTTGGAGAAGTACCTACGGGGGCATAAACAGAAAGATCTTTTAGTGGATACTTTTGGGCAAGTCTCTTAACCCTCTGATAGTGGGTTATGTATCTACCTTACGTGGTGGACATGAGGATTAAGAGAGAGAGTGCATATGATGTGCCTAGCCCAAGGCCTAGCATGTAATAAGTGCTCAATACATGGTAGCTGTGTTATTATAACTGTGAATGATCTTTTTTAATTGATAATGTAATAATCATTTGAGACAGAATGGCCATTAGAGTGACCCAATTTGTGTGTTTTTACATTACTTTGGCATTGCCCTACTTCATTTCAGGAGGCCCTGAGACAATTCCACTCCTCTCCCTGCCCCCCTACCCCCGCCCCAGCTCCCGGCCAGGGCTTGTACAGTGGTTTTTCACAGTAAATCTTCAAGTTCTGCGATATCCAGAGTATGTATAATGATTTGTGATATTTTCAGGAGCTTTTTATGTAAATACGACTGTATGGGTTTCATTGAAGACAGGAATTTTTTTTTTCTTCTTGAGATGGAGTTTCGTTCTGCCGCCCAGGCTGGAGTGCAGTGGCGTAATCTCAGCTCACTGCAACCTCCGCCTCCCAGGTTCAAGTGATTTCTCCTGCCTCAGCCTCCTGAGTAACAGGGATTACAGGTGTGAGCCACCGTCTTTAGCCAAGATAGGATACTTTGAAAGTGGTTTAGTCAGCAGATTTGTAAAGTATAGGTTTGTCCCCTTGTTAGAAAAGCCAGGTTTCAGAATAGGATAAAACCATTATCTATTTACCTAAAATCCAGAATAATTAGGTAACACAGTATGTATTTGACTGTTTAAATATACTCCTTATGCTTTACATGAGGAAAAGGAACGACTTTTCATATGGTGGAGAATTGTAGAATTGTGTGTCATGGGGAAAAGGTGGCTGGCTGGGCTCATGGAGAAATTTCATAGAGCAGAGAAAGGCGTCTTTTTCCCTTCTTGAAGTGTTGGCAAACTAGGGCCTGGGGTCAATGGGCTTGAAGCTCTATTAGGTAAGGCTCAGAGGTCCCCTTGTGGGGAACATTGTCATATATTGGTGCACACTTGTCAAAGATTACAGTCTGTAAACTGGAGATCCCTCCTTCTTCCCTAACAATGGAATCTTTTGAAATTTCCTAGATTATTTCAGGGACCCACCTCTCGCATTGCTCTGCATGGGGGTGGGTGCTCAGTAAGTTGTGCCAGGCTGGCCAGGCACGGTGACTCACGCCTGTAATCCCAGCACTTTGGGAGGCCGAGGTGGGCAAATCATGAGGTCAGGAGTTCAAGACCAGCCTGACCAACACGGTGAAACCCTGTCTCTACTAAACAAATACAAAAATTAGCTGTAATCCCAGCTACTTGAGACGCTAAGGCAGATAATTGCTTGAACCTGGGAGGTGGAGGTTGCAGTGAGCCGAGATCGCACCACTGTACTCTAGCCTGGGTGACAGAGCAAGACTCTGTCTCAAAAAAAAAAAAAAAAAACCAAAACAAAAAGTAAAAAACATTGTGCCAGGCTGCCTGGTAAGTGGAGAGCCCTAGTGGGTTGCTCTTATTTGGTGGGAGGTGATGCTGGGTTCTCTCTAATGCTGCCTTGTGCTCTTCCACAGATGTCATGTGGCCTGTGTTTTGGACCGTGGTTCGTACCTATGCTCCTTATGTCACATTCCCTGTTGCCTTCGTGGTCGGGGCTGTGGGCTACCACCTGGAATGGTTCATCAGGGGAAAGGACCCCCAGCCCGTGGAGGAGGAAAAGAGCATCTCAGAGCGCCGAGAGGATCGCAAGCTGGATGAGCTTCTAGGCAAGGACCACACGCAAGTGGTGAGCCTTAAGGACAAGCTAGAATTTGCCCCGAAAGCTGTGCTGAACAGAAACCGCCCAGAGAAGAATTGATGGAGGACACAGGGCCCTATGGCCCTACTGTGGGCGGTGACTTGTCCTGCTACCATGTTGACAGAGCCCCAGAACCCACATCTAATTGGCTTTGTTGCTTATTCTGGCCCCTCCCACACCACACAGCCACACAAATACTGGCTGCTCCTTGATGTCCAGGCAGACCCAGCGGCAGCCAAAGGGCCAGTGAAGAGGAAGGCCGCATCTGTTGTGTGGTGGCCACAAGCACTCAGGCATCTGAGTTTACTGGTGCACTGCTGGGAGGAGTGTTATGAGATGAACGTTGGCTGTCAATCTCTGTGGGCAGGCGGTTTGGCCTCGAGTGGGAATGGCTGGGATTTGGGTGTTGCCTTTAGGAGGGATACCTGCATGTCTAGTTCCAGTCTGCACTGGGAAGAATTCAAATATGCACCTGGCTCCCTTCACTGTTTTGCCCTATCCTTTGTGCTCATTCTTACTGAAATCTGTCTTGTCAGCTCAGGAATGGGATTCCCCCGGGAAGGAAAGCATTTTTCTGTTCTGGGAAGCCCAGACTGTTCACTTTGGGGCAGGGACGAACATGTGCCTCGTGAATTTGCTTGAAAACAGTCCCCATCATCTACCCCCATCACTGTAGAGTGCAAAACTTGATTAAAGTGGTATCTGAGAACCATAATGATCAAATCTTATCATCTAGATGGTATTTGGGAGTCTTCTTAGGAGTTAGGCAAGTACAGGTGTTTTAGAGCAGGATAACATTGGTATTAAAGGGTGCCAAGGAGCCCTGGAAACTGCTTTACTAGTGCGGTTGCATTGAACCCTGGAGGCACAGATTCCCAGGAACCTTTTTACCATCATTACAATTGGCCGTAGCAGCTTCAAGTCTAAATGGAAGTAGACCACACACACACACACGCACACGCCTTTCCCTATAAAAGTATATACGCACATTCAAGAAAATTTGGTAGGGATTTTAAAAAGGGCACCCATGTTCCCAGCTCGTTAATAACAACCATTAACATTTTGTTGTCTTTTACTAATTCTCTGCATAGGTTTTAAAGATAGTTACTACTGTACATTTAATTTTATATACTTTTCTCACATCATTTTTCCATTTTGTGTGGTCATCATTCACGGCTCAGTGCAACCTTGACCTCCTGGGCTCAAGTGATCCTCCCACTTCAGCCCCCCAAATAGCTGGGACTACAGGAGTATGCCACCACGCCCAACTAATTTTTTTATTTTTTGTAGAACCAGGTCTCACTATGTTTCCCAGGCTGGTCTCAAACGATCCTCCGGCCTTGGCCTGTAGTTTTTTGTTTTTTGTTTTTTTGGAGATGGAGTCTCATTGTGTCACCCAGGCTGGAGTGCAGTGGTGTGATCTTGGCTCAAGGCAACCTCTGCCTCCTGGGTTCAAGTGATTCTCCCGCCTCAGCTCCCTAAGTAGCTGGGATTACAGGCGTGCACCATCACGCCTGGCTGGTGTTTGTGTTTTTAGTAAAGATGGGGGTTTCACCATGTTGGCCAGGCTGGTCTCAAACTCCTGACCTCAAGTGATCCCGTCTGCCTCAACTTCCCCAAAGTGCTGGGATTACAGGTGTGAGGCACCGTGCCTGGCGGCCTGTAGTGTTTTTTTTTTTGTTTTTTTTTTTAATATGGAGTCTCGCTGTATTGCCCAGTCTGGAGTGCAGTGATGTGATCTCGGCTCACTGCAACCTCTGCCTCCTGGGTTCAAGCGATTCTCCTGCCTCAACCTCCTGAGTAGCTGGGATTACAGGTGCGCGCCACCACGCCTGGCTGATCTTTGTATTTTCAGTAGAGACAGGGTTTCACCATGTTGGTCAGGCTGGTCTCGAACTTCTGACCTTGTGATCCGCCTGCCTTGGCCTCCTAAAGTGCTGGGATTACAGGCATGAGCCACCGCACCCGGCTGTAGTTGTTTTTAATAGCAACATAATTGTCTATCAAGTGGGAGTATGGCATAAGTTTATTCTGGACAGTTTCCATATTGCCGGACATTTCAGTTGTTTCTGGTTGTTCACTTGTTTAGAACTGCAATGAATATCTTATATGAAGCTTTTCCTGCATTTTGGAATAAACAGTAAAAATAGTAAATGTCACTTTGGATGAAATGGGATAAATGAGCAGTTTTGAGGATCTCATGCATAACACCAAATGTCTTTCCTAAAGGGCTCTAGGAGTTTCTACTAAATGTTACCACTTAAGATGTTGCTGGTAAGGCTGTGAGGGGAGTAAAAGCAGACGGCAGGAAGAAGCATAAGAAGCTGTTGCCTCTTGAAGCCGTCTGATGTTTAAGTCAGCAAAGGGCAGTACTGAGCATTTCGTGAATTAATCTGCCTCTAAAAGGGAGTGGGTATTGGCCCTGCTTCTTAGACTGTCTCTCCTGAGGCCTGATGGTGTTCACAGGTGGGTGAGGGTGGAGTTCCTGAACAGTTAGAGGTGCCAGCTGTGAAGAGGTGCCAGCTGGAGGTACCTTCCAGGACCTGGTGGTGGCCTGAGAGGAGGAAGCAGGTTGAGTCGTTGGCTTCTTCTAGGTCACTGAGGCCTAGTGGGAATGTGGAAATGAGCTGCTGTTGCTTCGCAGGGAACAAATCCGATGGAGCTTGGGGAGAGGCTGTCAGCTACCAAGTAAGGAGATTTCTGGTTCTGGCTGATGAGCAGGCCTCATTGGCACACCAGTGCTGCCACCCTATGGCAGTCCTGGGCATTACCAAGCCTGCAATCGCTTCCCTGGGCTAAACCAAACACTGGTGCCGGCAGAGGTCAGGTGACAAATGCACCACCACACTGGCAGAAAGTACAGACCTGCCGAAAGGGGGCAGTGGCGACTCACCTTCCAATCTGCTGCTCATCCAGTGGTACCAGATTTTTGAATTTTTCTAAAAGATGTTCTAAGAGTTCCAGAGAGTGTAAAAAAAAAAAAAAAAAAAAAAAAAAAAAAAAAAAAAAAGAAAAAGAAAAAGAAAAGATGCTAGAAATTCAGGGTTGTCTGGTGTGTGTAACCTTCTGATTTTTAAGTGTTGCTAGTTCATTTTACAAAATTCTAAGCATGCTAACCTACCTGTGGGGTTAATTTGACCCAGTGGCTGCCAATTTGTGACCTCTCAAACTGCCTCCTCCTTCTGATGACACCTAAGAAATATGCTTTTTTTCCGATCTATCAACTTGTGACAAATATTAGATCCCAGAATTGGTTTCCCTCAAAACCCTTTTGGGCATCCTGTACAAAGACAGCTTAATAACCTAAGAAAAATGTGAGGATGGAAAGCCTACAGAAATAATAGCAAACACATTTTCCCACAGACATTTTTGGATTTTCAGATCTTTTAAAATATCCCTGTCACCACCCATTGGCCTGCACTCGGTGTCTGGTCGAGAGAGCCCTATCTTTCGGAATCCAAGTGGCTCCCTTCTTCCAGTCTCACTTTGATTGTGCCCCCTTTTAAATACTTTTCTTTCCAAGAGCACGTCGTCACTGAATTTCTTCCTCTAGCAAGTCTATTAGTATTCTCAGCTAGATCTTTCTTTCCCACAGGCTGGCTGAAATCGGTCATTGCAGTGGCTGTAAGATAGTATATGTGCTCTTGCCTCTGCTCAGGTGACATTAGGTAGCAAGGTTTATGTGGATGTGGGTATAGACAGGTCAGGGTTGCTGGAATGAACCAAGGTACAGACTGGTTTTCTTCCATGCTTGCTGATTCACCTTGGAGGCAGTGACCCTCTTTTTGACTGGCCTTCCAGTCACAGTTCACTGAAACACATGACTGAGTGGACGTGCTTGGGGCTTTTTGCTCCCACCACTTCTCCCCGTCTCTTCCCAGCCCTGTGATGGTGTTGGCTTTAGTATAGGGTTATGCTGTCCGAGCACGGCAGGAATCACTTCTCTCCCTGCAGCGGTTCAGTGTCTGGTGCTTTTCCACTCTTTCTAGACCCTTTCCTGTGCCTGTTGCTGTGTTAGCACAAGTCGACTGGGCAGCTGCCAGAACAAGCCTGCCAGGGAGCCTTTTGACTCTGGTCAGCTCCCCAGGGCTCCTGGTTGGTGGGACTGTCGCTGAGTGAAACATCATGGAATTAGCCTTGCCAGAGTCTGGGTTGGGAGCCAGGTAGTGAAAATGTAAAAGCCCCTCCGTCTTGCCTCACTTTTTCTTTTCCACTTTGCTTTAGATCTCTTAAGTACTTGTAAAGTAGGGAGCCAGGGCAGTGTAGCAGAGGAAAAATAAAGTGGATTCTCGAGTCTGACAGACTTGAATTATGAATACTGCCTCAACCATTAACTGGATGACCTTGGGCAAGTCACTTAGCCCTTCTGAACCTCAATATCCTCACCTGTAAAATAGGGGTGAGAATTTTTGTTGGGTTGTTGTGAGGATGAGGTAATTACGTAAAGTTCTTAGCATAGTGACTAAGAACTTTACATAATTACCTCTTAACATAGTGACTATGCTAAGAACTTTACATACATTGTCACAGACTATGCTAAAACTTTACATACATTACCTCATCCTCACAACCACCAGTGGGTACTCAGTAAATGTTAGCAGCTTTAATTGTATTGCAGGAAGAACCTACGTTTCCTGCGATAGTTGCATGTATCCTTGTGCTCCTGGTGAGGCGGGGGTCTCGGGGAGAGAGCAGCCTTGGCTGAAGGACAATAGGGACCTCATAGACCTGGTGTTGAGAGCTGCTGATAAATATTTCACAGAAAGAACTGGCTTGCGTAAGAGCCAAGAAGCACAGGCTGGTCAGGAGACTGCAGGCTTCCCACCTGCCTTCGTGGTGGCTCCATCAGGGCAGTCTGTGAAGTCAGAGGGAAGCAGATTGGCCAGAATGCCCAGGAGGTCACAGATCAGGAGAATTGGGAGAGGAAAGAGCCTTGGACTTGGAGGCAAGAGGTCTGAGTGGTGACCTGGGGTATGCCGCTTCACCTC